GTGTTTCAAAATGTTCAGCACCTCCGAATCACAGGACTTGAAGGCTTGGTGGCCCAAGATTCGCCCGGGTGGAGTCATGGCAGGAGACTTCGGAACCCGTTCGTGGAATCGCGCGAGGCACGTGCCGTGGCGTTTGGAAGCACGTTCCAAAAGAAACCTCAGGACACGACTTTTCAATGTCTTTTCCGGGCCTCATGCGCCGGAATCTGAGTGCAAATTCAGAAGTAGGAGAAACATGGAGAAACAGCTGCAATGGTTGCTTGATGGCATAACTAGATATCTCCAAGGAGCTGTGTTGGAGTTCGTTTCGATGCTCCCCGGGCGCACAGAGGTGCCTATCAATGAATCGGGTGGAGTGGATTGACTGGCGCAGCAGTGCCCACGGGTGGGCTTCACGATGTCAGGTCTACCTGGATACCGACTACAGCTTCTGGTTTTTCAAGCCCGAGGACCTCCCGAAGCGGCATGCGCCAGGCTCCTGAGGAAAACGGCCGAAAAGAAGAAAAATCGCCCGCCGAAAAGAGACCATGGCAGGGAAAGAGCTGACATGCCATTCCTTTGGCACCCATGTTATTTTCATTATTTTTCTCGATTTATCAAAACATAAGAATCTAATAAATAGTAGCTAGCACATATTGAAGGATATGATTTATGCAGATTTATATATATATATATATAATATATATAGAGATTCAACTAAATGATGTTACATTTCTATGAATTACTATATACTCATTCTTAAAATATCCTTATTTTCGTCGCCCCATATTCGTCGGAAACGACGGGTGGCCTCTTTTCAGGTCATGGCGGCCACGCTTGGAGGGTGGCACCCGAGGTCACAAAGCACGAGCACGCGTGTCCTGACGGCGACGGCGACGCCGCACAACGGCAGAGACCTCCTGGGACCCGAAAAAATGTGACTGGAAAGCTGATGACTGGATGCATCTGGATGCTGCCTCGATACAGCTATAATAATAACGACAGCTTTTTGAGGTGTTCGGATGTGTTTGGTGTTTTGTCAAGCCAGAGGCCAACAAGGCCAGTGTCGCAGCACAGTTCATTGCTTTGTATGCTTTGTCATCTCGTTTGCCATTTCGGCTGCAGTGGTTTATTCGCTAGGCAAAAGATCTATCCGACAAGCTTGCATGTCATTTGACGGCAAACAGTAAACTGCCATGTGCTGGCATTATATAAGACTTCAAGAGCAAAGACCAGTGCAGAAGCGTGTGCATGTGATTAAATTGTGATAACTTTTCTTTGTTGTTTGCTAGGACTTATACCATAATTAAGACACTTCTAGAGAACACAGCAGCTGCTCGAAGCCGCTCTTCTCCATTTAAGGCGCGGCTGAACGCTTCAATCACTCGAAGGACCGAGGAAAAGCATTGCGGAACACGGCGCCTCAGGTCATGCCACGCTTTCAGGATTTCGTGGAGGCGTCTCGATTGCTCGACAAGACGACTGTTTTGTGATCGAGATCATTTGAGTTTTGCGAAATCCTAGGATGAGATCCAATCACTAAGTGCTAAATCAGGAGATCGTATCAGATGACGAGGCCACGACCAAGTGAGAACGGACGAGATCGAGCTTTCGTTCCGATGTTTGTGGGGTGGACGTTTGTGGTAGAAGGGAGATCAAGGGCCAAGGGAGATCAACTCTTAGCCCTTCAGGAAAGCAACAAGGCCAACAGGCGCGGAAACAGCATGAAACAGCAATGCATTTGTGTTGTTTTCGTTGATTTTGATGGAGTCGTGTGAAAACCGATGCGCCCTTGAACGCACAGGGCGCCTGTGAGCAGTGAGCGTCCCAGGGTGTCAAGCTATCCCGTCACGTTGCCACCGCCCACAGCATGCACATGGCACTCACAGCTTCGCGGAACAACCCGATCTCTCAGCGAAAGGCTGAAGGTCTACGGCCATCTGTGATCTCTCTGTAACTAGAAGCTATGCACGGCGGAGGCCATCGCTAGGTTGGAGGCCATCGCTAGTAACAATTAAGCTTTCTAGTAACTAGATTTAACTAGTAAACTAGTTACTAGAAAGCTTTATTGTTACTAGTAGCGAACTGAGGTACTTGTACTCCTTCTGTTGGCTCAGCTCCTCGTGTCGGACAGCCTGTGACACAAGAGGCGAGCCCGGACGATGGCTATGGCTTAATTCATTGATGAATGGGTCAAAACCTGGAGCTCCCCACACAATGTAGCTGTCAAATCATGTCAAATCCATTTTGGGTGTGTAGCTCAAGACATGGGAGACCTCCCAGACGTTCCGACCCCCCTAGATGGAAAATAGACCAGTCTACCTAGTCGACCCATCGGGCCAGGGGTGTCTCCCTATTCAAACACACACCCATATGTGACCCACACGGCAAGTGCATATGGCATAGAGCGCCTCAGCTGTCGGTTGAAGGGTTGCTCCATAAATGTTGACATGATACCTGATGCTAGTAGCTTATGATGCTAGTAGGGGGGAGGCCATCGCAAAGTAGGTTGGAGGATGTTGGAGGCCATCGCTACTAGTAACAAGAAGCTACTAGGAACAAGGACGCTATTAGGTGGAGGTAGCTTATTCTGTTTCAGGGTCGATACATCCCGATACATCTGGTGTTTGAAGCACATAGTCGTGGCTTCGCCAGTGTGTCTCAACATCAGAAATAGTTGGGGGATGAACGTGGGTAGACTCGCCAGACCTATATGGCTACTCATCCAAAATCGCATGTGCTTGATTGAGGGTACAGTGTAGACGGAGTAGACAAAAGTTACGCATATGAATCTGCATCTCATGTAGGTGATTGCCTTGTCAACCAATGTGCGGAGCCCCAGCCACTGAGCCCATACTGCTTGGACGTTTGAGACGCGACGGAGTCATACACCTCAGGTCAATCGTGGCAACATGAGCCAAGAGGCCTGACGACAAGGGTGAGAAGCAAGCTGAGCAAGCTGAGTTGAACTGGTGATAACTGGTGTCACAAGGCCTTCAATCAGAAGTTGACCCATTTGCAGATTCAAAGCTCGGAGCTTGGAATCTGAGAAAACGTCATGTTAAATTGCCCTCATGTTTTCCCAGCATGACGAAGATGATTCTGGATGACAACAGCCAAAAGCAGCAAAGACTTGCCAATGACTTGCCGCTGACGAACGCCATGCGTTCGGATGCACCGTCTTCATGTGAACGGATTCCTCCCACATTGCCCAGCTGAGACAAGCGAATTGGTGATCTAGAAGGGTTGAAGCTGGTGCCTGGTGTTTACGTCCTGTGCGCCCGTTCTTCGCAACAGCGATCCTCCGGACAAACGTTCCTGGAACGGCTTAATGCGGAAGGTACGCTTACGACAACCTCATCTCGAGCCTTGCAGGAATTCAGAGTTTGAGGTGCCGTTGATTGGCCGATGTTTTGCTTGGTCACCGAATGTTTTGCTTCGTCCAAGACGCATTTTCGAAAACAATCGTCCGATTCTGAAGAATCGGGCAAGTTTTGGAAGCGCTCCAAGTTCAGGCGTTTGCAGCAGCTCTACCTGCAAAACAATAGGATAACAACCATGGCAGGGCTCGAGGCGCCTTGATTGTTTTTTTTCCCCTATGCAAACTGCTGAAACACATGGACCAAGTGAGTTGATTTGCAGCGCAACGGAAAAACAAAAATTTAAAACATTGGCTCAGCTGAAACTCGCCCGCCCGGCCCATCGGCCTGAAAAAGCCAAGGACTGTCAGACGGGGTTCTGAAGGTTCAAGATTGAATGTAGACAAGTTGTTTCAAGGGTCTTCAGTCTTGATGGTCATAGACGGGAATGACTGGAAGAACAGACGAGATTTCAAAGCTAAAGCATCAAAGTTCACAGGACCTCCCCTAATCACCAATTAAAGGAAGATCCTTATTGAAGATTCGTGAACTGTCATGATCATAAGTAGTTGACCTGGCAGAAGTCATAGATTCTCGTGAGCTGCAGGCTGTAGCTCTACTCCTCGCACAACTCACCTCATCCCCAGTCAAAATGATTCTAAACCTTCCAAAACTTGCTGCAGTCTGGATGCCAAAGATCCTGGCAAGAGAGCTCTTGGGAGGGGGGGCCCCAGCTTGAATATCTTAGAAGCGTGTAACATCACCAGGAGCTATGTTCAGTGCCGCCAACAGCGGCGGCGCAGTTGCCGCTGCAACTGGGCAGTGTGCTAAGTTGTGATGTTGTGCCCGCCACAACATGATTCAAATCAGTGAAGCTTCTCATGCCGATGGAACATGATAGAAAACCCATTTGCTGCATGAAGCCTAGGATGGATGGGCAAGGACTTATCGGTGGGCAGGCCCACGTTTTCAACACAAAGATGCGCAAAGGGTTGCGTTTGTGTTGCAAAGAGGAGCCCCCCATCACCATCCATCACTCATCTCCATTCATGAGCCAATCAGGGTGTTGCGGGCATTGAGAAGACCATGAAATGGAAGCTGTTCTTCTTCATTGGCTCGATCCTCAGACTGTGAAATGTCCCTGAGACCACACTGAGAATCATTACGTGCATGTCGCAGGATCTGTGATCGTCCTTGTGACTGGCGTGTCCTGCACCCTGTACTGGACCATGTTTGTTTCCTCCATTTCGCCTTGCTTCAGAGAAATTAGGCCCGAGTGCCCATTTGATGGATGGAAACTAATTAAACTCCATTGCGATCACAAAACAACATGGTCCTTCAGAGAAGCAGACTCCGTTGGATCGACAACCACATGGGGTGCTGCTTTTGCTGAAGCTTCGGCTCGCAGGATGATTCATCTTCAGTGGGTCAAGTTCTTAATTCGGATCAAAGGTTAGTGACTGTCATGTGGATACTCGCTCAAAATCTAATATCCGGACGGCACACAACATGCCCAAAAGTTGTGCTAAGGCTCCTGCTCAGTTCATGACCACCTTGTTCATTTTGTTCTTCGGGATTTTGATGGTTGTGAGCGGCCTCAGGTGTTCACATTCAGTTGCACAGGTAATTTGTGGGCTCTGCTTGATTGTTCCACGCCTGCTGTTTGGCCCCAGCAAAAGACAGACTTGTAGAAGGACGGGCCGGCGGCAGAAGCGCGATGGCTGCGAAGCCAAAAGTCAGCTTCAAGATTACCTTGGCGTCTGAGAAAACCCAGCCATTCAAGGCCTATTAGTGGTAGAAGTGCTGCACTGGTTGGTAGGAGGGATGGAGTCGGATCGTGTATCAAAAATCCCAGCAGCCCTTGTGGGCTTCTCCAGTTCGTTCAGGTCATCACTGTCCCAGAAGAAGCTCCCTTCCTTGCAGTCGTCAAGTTCGCAGCGGAGGAGTTCAAGGCGGGTGTTGGCCACATTTAGACATGTTTTAATGTGTTTGGCTTTGGTTTTCTGCCAGATCCTTGGTGATAAAAATGTCATGCGTCCGTTCTCTCCTTTGTTTCACGAACATCGTGCATGTTCATGCTATTCTCATCTAAGTCCTGTTCTCTGCATGCACGCAGGTCAACCCTTCCACAAGCGCTGTGATCACGAATGACGGAGTCGGTTTGAATCCGAACCAGACAGCAGGGTCAGTCTTCCTCAAACACGGTGCAGATCTGAAGCTGATCCCCCGAGACCGCGTCGGAGCTGCGGTGAACACACCGAGGCAGCGATAGACCACGAAAAAGCCGCAAAAAAAAAGGTAGTAACAAAAAGCTATTAGAAACAAGTGCCACGCTAGTAGTAACAAGTGCCTTACTAGTAGTAACAAAAAGCCATTAGAAGCAAGTGAGACAAGACGTCACCAAACAAGTCACATCTCATGCCGCACCATGGACTCTTCGCAGCCTAGCAAGCTGACTATAGATAGACCAGAGACCAGTTGCTGCTACTGAACTGCCTTTCCAAGGTTCTAGACTTTCCAGTTCCCAATCCAAACCCACGGGACAATCCGCCAGCAGCTCAGCGGTTTGCGGGAGCTTTCCCACACCTTTGTATTTGTTGTTTCTGCTTATCTATCTTTGCGAGCCTTTGAAGTGGGTCAAGGACATTAGTCAGCATCAGGGATCACTGCTACAAGTTTGTCCTGTTCATGCCAATTCCTCAGACTGGTGCGTCAAAAACGCAGAATGGGTAACGCTACAAAGCTGACTTACCTTGGCATGATTTTTGAGGACTCGCTTCATGGGCCGAGGCGACTTGATTCAAAATCTGATGGCGTTTATATAAGTTTTATATAAGTGGTTTAGTAGTTTTATTAACCTTTTGTCCACACAGACTTTGCCAGGTATGTGGTATCTGTTCTTGGCCACAATGGTGCCGTGCTTGGAACTGGATGCTTGCGGCTTTTATGGAAAGCCATGTACGGGCGATGTGTTATATTGCCAGACTGACTGTATGGAGAATCGCTATCTTCGCTAGAAAGATAGCGCTATCGCATGCTATCGCTATCCCATTGTCCTCATCAAGATTTCCCAGTTCTTGCGCACTTTTGGGTCAATGGAGTCAATGGCCTTGCAGTACTTCGTAGGTCTTGTGCCGATGCTATGCAGTCACAGAACCAGTCACATCGTCCAAAGCTGGAACTAATATCCTGACGTTTAGGCTGTTCAGGTGATGTATGCATGTCACGCATGTCCTCAGGTCTTTGCTGCTTTGTGGGACACCAACATCAGCTGGTTCTTTGGAGGTGAAGCTGGTGAAGCTGCTAACAAACGCGGGCGTTACAAGCATCGCGCGAGCATCGCGCGACGCATCACTTGTTCTGCGTGACGCATCGCGCAGGACTCTTCACCCTCTACTTGGTGGGGTCGGGCACCGAAGGTGTAACCGAGTTAAAAATGGGCATCGAAGGTGTGCCGCAAAGCTGTGGAAAATGGACCAGGCCCTGGCGGCCCTGACGGTGAGTCAATTCTGTTGAAAAAAGACTTGGTTTAAGGCTGGGCGTGGTGGCTTTATGGAAAGGCACGTTTGAGATCGTTTTGGGGGTCCACCAGATTCTGAGAAAACCCAGGTTTCACAAGAATGTAACACACGGAAACGCACTGTAACACAGTTTGTAGGTCTGTGTGGAGTGGTTCCGGAGCAAACTCTTCAATACTCAGTAATACTCAGTTTCAGGTTGGCTGATCAGCATGCAGCTGGACAAGGCTCGAAACATCCTCCTCAGAGAAAAAGGCCCGGGCCAGTTGCGTTACTTCCAGGCTTAAGGTGGCGCAAGTACTCGACTACCATGCATCTTAATGATTCTTAATGCATCTGAGGTGTCCATCCCTTTTTCTCCTTCTGAGAGATGTCGTTCTTGGGGCTTCGCATATTGAATCAAGATGGATCAAGTTGCTTGTTTGAGGTGAAATCAGTAATTGGAGCAGGAAAAATGATTTTGCTCTCATCGTCCAATCATAGACTTCCACTCTTTGTCCGAAGTTCTTCCCTCTTCCGAACCCCCCACATTCTGCCCACATCACGGCGGGACCTCGCGCGTGCGGCAGAAACGGGTGGAAGCCTTGATCACTACATTGCTCCGACTCAGCAAGGCCCACCGAACACGTCGGTTTGCTGTTTCGGCGAAACGTCGCGGCGTTTCAACGTGACGATTCCTTCGGGAGTTCTGAAGTTGGGTGTTTGTTTTGAGAGAAGGGTGTTTGGGCGTCTTTTTGGTATGTCCTTGCATGTGTTTCTCTGGGTGCGCATCTTTGCGGCTGCCAGGGCTTAGTAAGGCTCAGTTCAAGGCAAGGCAGTATTGTGCAATGGAAGATTCGGTTTGTCAGATTGAGTCAACACATTCTTGTGAGGCTCTTCTCAAGAGTCTCACTAATGACGAGGTGGGGCATCAAGTCATCGTGTTGATGAAGGATGATTGTGCGATGTGCTCCACGGCCAGGAGATGTTCTCTGACGATGATTTGGACTACATCCTGAATGCATTGTTGAAGCCTCATGTTTCCTTGTTGCTGCAGCAAAAGCACGGATAGTTTGGAAATGTGGATTCCAAAACGGCTGAAATGCCTCGGCCACTATGCTTCATGTCTTTGCTTCTTTTGTGATGATGATTCTGAAATCTACCTCTACTGCTACTACAGAGGTTACGCCGCCTCCTCGTGTCCTCCGACCGCCCTACTGCGTATTTATAGCTCTACCACACCCCGTGCTACTTTTTGTTTGTTCCTACCGCCATAGCTTTGATTGGTGCTTTTACTTTTGTTCTTACTCTATCACCATGGTCATCCTTTTGACACAATCCCTGGGCCCATCCCATCACCCTTCGATTCCATCTGAAACGGCATGAGGAGCTTTTTGCCTTCTAGCGATGGCATTGTGAGCCGGGAGGAGAGTGGGTTTCAGGTTAACACGTGCTGTCGCGGGGGGGTTGAATGCAAGTGCAATGATGTGGGTACGGCAAGAAAACTACAGAGCCAGGGAAAGTGGGAAAGTTCTACACAATATACTTGTTTCTAGCTATACTCATATTATGAGACTCATATCCGAATAAGACAGCAGAACTTAAGCAGATCAGGTGGTGCCAGAAGCGAACTGTCCAGGAGTTCAACTACTGGGTTGGACCTGGCCTCATGCTCATGGTGTGAATTCAGGACGACAGAGCCACTGGAAGTATCTTGGTCCTTTCGGGTCAACTCGCCAAGAAGGGTACTTGGTGCAGATAAGACTTGACAGATGCCAGCTGAACAGCTTGAATCATGCAGGACTGCATAGTCCGGTGTGCATGAGGAGAGCAGTGAGGGTTCTGCACGGGGCAATTCTTCAAGATGCCAATGCGCTGACAGAGCTTTCCCAGCCTTCATTCAACTTGATTCTCCACGTGTGAACGATTCGCCACGCGTTCCTCCGCCGGATGTAGAGACCGTACAGTACGCAGCAGTGCAATGCCATAGGTGCATCAGGCTGCAACTGAGGTTTCACTCGATGGGTTCGCAGTAGAAGGACTGCACATCCATCATGTAATTTGTGCAGGCTCTGGGCATGTTGAGTGAGAGATCTATATAGTGAATTATAGTGATTGATTGTTGTTGGCAAGAATGTGTGAAGAAGGAGCTAGAAGTTCGTTGTGTGTGCTCAGCATGTAGAAACTCCGGCAGCTCCAGAGAAAAAGTCCGGAAGTGTCAGTCAAACAAAGCATAATTCTCAAAGTCCACAAGGACTTGTAATTACGGCCGTTTGCCAGGACAAGCATGACTTTGCTGAAAACGACCTATTCAGTGTTGGCCTTCCTGCTGAACACACCTTTTATTTCTGCAGGGTCTCAGCATGCTGCAGAAGTTGCACCTGGGACATAACAGGTCCAACACTGAGAAAATCCCATCCCAACGTGCACGTGAAGTCTAGCTGCCTAGCCAAGCCAGGTTAGCCCGGATTGATTCACTGGAGAGCTGCACCCAATTGGAGGAGTTGAGTCAACCGTCAAGGATTCTTGTAGGACAAGATTACCCATGCCACCCATGCTGCCACCCCACATATCCAATGAAATGACCTGAAGCCTGAAATGACCCACATATCACATAAAGGATTCTTGTAGGTCATGTCTTTTCAGGTCTTTCTTCGGTCATCTTCCAATCCTGTGGAGTCTTTGGTGCCAACGGAACACCAGGAGCTGCTGGTACCTCATCAGCAACCGCCGGTCGAAGCACCACTCCAGGTCGGCTTGTCTTGTGACAGCACGAGGGCCAATATCCCAAGGTAAAATAGATTGATAATACTTTTAATTTCGAAAGCCAGCCGATAGGCTAGGCTTGAGCTCTTAGACCGAACGAAGTGAGTAAAGGGGGTGTGGGGGGGGTAGGCCGCGAAAAGGCACCATTTGAGAGGGTGAACCCGGAGCTTGCCTGGGGAGAGCGCTCCAAAGCGAGGGTCAGAAAAGCAGTGAAAATGGGGTCTGGTGATGCGAGTTGATGCAATGGACGCCGAGTAGTGCATCATTAGCATCACGAAGGGCTGTGGAGGCTATTTGGACAATGGGCATTGAGCACTGGAGTGGAGACAGGCACCCATGTACAGAGCAACCATCCTAGTCTCTACTATACCTGTACCGTCGAGCGGATGCTTCTCGCGGCGTCCACGTGCACCGAACGTTGTTCCGGCTTGGCCGCGCAGCTAGATAGATACAGAATAGATAGATCGATAGATAGATAGACAGATAGATAGATACTGGGTGTATGTATTGGCGCAAGTATGGTTGTTGGTTGGCAGCGACAAGTCACTATCAGAACAGGGGCCCGTGTAGATAGCAACTTGGTGGCGTGAAGAACTTGCTGCTTAAGGATTGGTTCTAGTCACGGATCTATGCCATATTTTTAGATTTGGTGACACCAATGCTGAGACATATAGTTCCTGCCTTCCTCCTAGTCATCCTGTCAGACCAGTCTCCTTGGATGTATTGGGGCAAGTATGGTAATTGGTTGGCAGCGACAAGTTGCTATCAGAAAAGGACCCCCTGTAGATAGCAACTTCTCTGTGTTTGATGTCTCTGTCGTTTATGACTCTGTGTCTCTATGGTTCTGTGTCTCTATGTCTCTGGGAAGAGGGTGTAGCTGCAACGTATGATTATTTTTTGGGTGGATCAGTGGCATAAGCCCAAGGAAAGTCCCCAACAGCAAGAAGCGCCACTGAGACAGTCTCTTCCCTGTCCAAGCCCTCCTCTGGAGCCTTGTCTGTTTTTCAACCTGCTCCGGAACCTTCTTCCGAACCTTTTGCTAT